CTATGAACCAGGAGGTCACTTGTTCCATTCCCAATCAGGAGCTCAATCCCCAGTAGGGGCCGTGCAGGAGACAGCCAATTAATCATTGTCTCTCATCACTAATGTTTCTCTCTCTCTCTCCCTCTCACCGCCTCTCTAAAATCAATAAAAATATTTTTTTTAAAAAAATACATTTTAAAAGAGACATATAACATCATCTCACTTGGCTGATGTAAATATTAAGCAAGATGTTTACAGAAATATGCTAAGCATACAGTAGGAGCTCAATAAACACTTGCTAAGTTATAGAAGCCTAAATATAAAGAAAGGGCTAATCTAATGATGGTTACCATTTATTGAGCACTGCTCTAATACAACTTTAAGAGAAGATACTAATATTATCCCTGTCATATTACTTTCATCATAAAGATGAAGAAAATGATGAACGGAAGGAATTGGTGGCTGTGTCTCAATTGACACAGTTGAGAATTGGTGAGATAGGATTTGAATTCAGGGATCCTTTTTGTAGGTAAGTTCCAGGCTATTGTACTTCATGTCATCCAGAGGCTTCTTCTCCTGTATCTAGGTTGATAGAACTTCTGCCTTGTGCTTTGCCAGACTCATCATTGGTGTCCCTGAGATCAAAGATCTGAGCTGTATTTAAGGCTGAGTGCACATTTACAAAGGTAAATGTTCTTTTCATTATAAGTCAATATTGTAGCTCTTAAAAACTGGTACAAAAAGAAGGAATGGGAATCAAAAATAAAATAAAATGGGAGTCGTCTGCCCTGTATAATCCATTACATGTGTTACCCCAGTCAGGCAACTTCCTTTTTCTGTTATGTCTGTAAGCAAGAAATTTGGGGGGGTGGGGGGGTGGGAGAAGGGATCATGTGTCCTGTTAAATACATTCACATACTGGGGCATTTGAAAAGATAAAATTTTGTGTTGTATTAGCATTGAAATATTTGCCTGAAATCAAGTATCCAACAACATTCTGATTGAATAGGTTTATAATCATCTTAGTTCTTTCTTGCTGCCAAACCTGGTGAGTTAAAGCACATCAATTTGCTTCTCTTTTACCAAGGACAAATGCTTGTCTCTCTGACAAGTCTACACCTCTTCATGGAAGGGGCATTGGACATACGTGTCTTTAATCTGTCCTGGTGCATGGGAGCACCTATCCTGCCCAGTGCTGTGCCAAGCACTGTGGAGTGAAGTGAGTCATCATCATCATCATCATAGTAGCCACAGCTATCATTTATTGAGTACTGTCACAGGCACCAGCACTTCACATGCAGTATGTCATTTACTAGTCATCATCAAACCCCTGTTATGAAGTAGGCACCCTTATTATTGCTGCTGTGCAAGTGAAAGGAATGAAACTTGGATGGGCGATTTGTCCTGTAGAGTGGAGAGTAGGACCTTCCCTATAAGACAAGAAAAGTCAGCCACCTGGAAGATTCCCCACTTGGTTGCCTCACAGAATCCCCAGATTCAGTGTGTTCAATGTGGTCCAACTTCCTCTACCTCTAACCACTAAACTTGGTTTCCCTCCCATAATATATATCATGGGGGAATGCCTTAAACGGAATAATGGCCCCTCACCAAATATGTCCACATCCTATTCCCCACACCTGTGACTATGTTAGCTTACATGGCAAGAGAGATTTTGAAGATTTAACTTAAGGATCTTGTGATAGTCTAACTTATTCCCCCCCCCCTACAATGAAACCCTCAGAATGACTGTATTTGAAGATAAGGCCTTTAAATTGGTAATTAAATTAAAATGGGGTCATTCAGATGGACCCTAATCTAATCTGGCTGGTGTCCTTATAAAAAGAGGAGAGAGACGAGAGAAAGCACAGAGAAGAGAGATACCAGACACTAGACAGGGACATAGACACAGGACAGCCATGAAAAGACACGGGGAGAAGGTGGCCATCTACAAGCCAAGGACCAAGGCCTCAGGAGAAACCAAACCTATAAACATTTTGGTCTCAGACTTCCAGGCTCCAGAACTGTGAGAAAATAAATGTGTGTTATTTAAGCCCCCCAGACTGTGGTTCTTGTTATGGCAGCCTTAGCAAACTACAACAGATCCTAAAATGGGAGGTTATCCTGAATTGTGGAGGGAGACAATGTAACCACAAAGGTCTTATAAGAAGAGAGCAGGCCCTGACCAGTTTGGCTCAGCGGAAAGAGCGTCGGCCTGCGGACTAAAGGGTCCCAGGTTCGATTCCAGTCAGGGGCATGTACCTTGGTTGCGGGCACATCCCCAGTGGGGAGTGTGCAGGAGGCAGCTGATTGATGTTTCTCTCTCATCGACGTTTCTAACTCTCTATCCCTCTCCCTTCCTCTCTGTAAAAAAAACAATAAAATATATTTTTAAAAAAAGAAGAAGAAGAGAGCAGGAGGATCAGAGTATGAGAAGAAAATGTGAGCTAGAGCAGAGGCCAGAGAAAAGAGATGATGCTACATTGCTGACTTTGAAACAGATTCTCTCCTAGAGCCTTCAAAAGCAATGTAGCTCTGCCTACACCTTGATTTCAGCACAATAAGACATAAGACTGATCTCAGACTTTCCACTTCCAGAACTGTAAGATAATAAATGTGTCTTCTTTTTAGCTACCAAGTTTGTGACAATTGTTATAGCAGCCATAGAAGAGGAATACAGGGGATGACATCACCATCTCCCTGTTCCTCCAGCCCTGTCCTTCCTATCGTAGCCTGTGCCTCTCCTTACCCATCTTTCTTAAATTACACCTTCCTCCAATATTATGTCTTGAATGCTTCACTGCCTCTAATCAGCTATAAGATAAATGTCAAAGTCTTGTTATGACATAGGAAGCTTTCCAGGGTCTCTCTGCTTCTGTCTCCAGCCTGGGGTACTGGTCCCCTACCTTGTCAACCTTGACTCTAGGCCAGTGATGGTGAACCTATGACACGTGTGTCAGAGGTGACACGCGAACTCATTTTTTTGGTTGATTTTTCTTTGTTAAATGGCATTTAAATATATAAAATAGATATCAAAAATATAAATCTTTGTTTTACTATGGTTGCAAATATCAAAAAATTTCTATATGTGACACAGCACCAGAGTTAAGTTAGGGTTTTTCAAAATGCTGACACGCCGAGCTCAAAAGGTTCGCCATCACTGCTCTATGCCCTCTTTCTATCCTTGGCTACAGGTCCCCTCTCTCCCAGCTGGACTGTGTGTTTCCCTTTCTCCAGCCTATGCCACATGACCTCATCTCTCTAGCCTGGGTTACACACCCTCCTTTCCAGCAGAGGCCGCATGACCCCCACCCTGCCACCTTACTATAGTCACTTGCTTTTCATTGACCTCACCTTGATGCCTTTGATTGCTGTCTCCTCTCTTTCACCTGGGCACTTCCTACTTACTCCTCAAAACTCAACTCAGGTGTCACCTTCTTCAGAAAGTTCTCCCTGAAGTTCTTCCACCCTTCTCACCAGTTGGTTTAGTTGCTCATCCTCCATGCTCCCATGATACACGGTTAATCTCTAGCATAGCCAGAGATAGCAGCCCCATAGTTCCCGCATGGTAACTCTGTCTTTATTTGCCTGGATCCACCATTAGAATGTGTTCATCCAAGCTGGAAATTACATGAAATTGCTCAGTACCCAACACAGTGCCTGCTACTGAAAAGACTAGTGTTTGTTGAAAGTTTTAGGAAAAAAAGTTAGGATTTCCTTTACTTATTCACACAACAAATATGGATCGGGAACTCATGATCTGTAAAACACTGTGTGTAACACTTGGTATCTGCCACTGAGAATTTTAAGTTTAGTCAGATTATTGTGATGTTATTTAAATGTGCAGTACATGGTAGCACCTGATTAGACCACAAACACTGAGCTTCAGGGACTGAGAGAAAGGATTTGTATGTGGGGGAAACGGAAAGGATTTGGAGAAGTGGAGTTTTCCTAGGACCAGGTCATGAAAGTTCAAAGGAGACAGGGAACCCTGAAGCAGAAGCTCCCATCAACGTGATGTGGGATCTTCAACAAAAGCCTGACTCCATCATGGCATGAGCATGCCCTTCATTCAAGAAGGCACACAAATGTCAATGTTATGAGTTTCCAAGGAGGCATCACATTTCCAAAGTATATTGAGCACGGCAGAAAGCTAGGACCCTGTAGGCTAACAGGAGGCAGGAGAAAACACAGCAAATTATATTAAATGAGTCACAGTGGCTAAGGAAGGATTTTCCTCATTAGACATTCAGTTCCTAATAATTTTATGTAATTCAAATCCAGAAGCTAATTGTTATCATGACTAATATAGGATACATGCTATTTCTTTTCAAGGTCAACTTTGTTCAGGAAAAAAAAAATGAGGAACAATTCTCTTCCTTGACCCTCTCTGATAAAGCAGAAGCCCTATGAATGAAAATACGGGTGAGTCCGAGCACTTTATCCCATAAATGACTAAAATGAGTTAAGGCTGACTTGTCTCCAGGTAATCTATGTACAGATGGTCACATAACCCTGATTTTAGCATATAAAATGGAGGATCAAGAGACTCACAATTATTCATGACTGTCTCTTTACTGTTTTAATAGATTTAAAAAGCTGCTTCCTTGCCAGCCATCCCATTGTAAACCTTCCCAGATGAATACTGCAGGCCAAGCTATTTCTTCTGCCAAGATTCATTATTGGATCTCTCAAAGTAGATTTAGTTTGAAGAGGTTCACATCTACTACAAATTGTGAACACATAATGATTAAAAGGTTTTCTTAAAAAATTTAAATGTATATAAATATATTAGTATGAATGTTATGATGATAAATTAATGTATAATACAAATTAAGATCTAAAAACTAAACCAAAAGTACCTGTAAACATGAATGATAAATGCCAGATAAAATAATAGATGAATGACTAGAGATATTATCCACCAATCCAGAACTAGAATGAATGAGTTCGATGTCCTTCAAATTATATAGAACATTAATTTGGGACGAAAAAAATAAGAAAGACAAGTAATTTCAAGTTTTCATTTTTAAATATCTTTAATAAACTTACAGGCCAAGAAATAATGTTCATCTGAGAACATTTTTAAATGTTTCTTTTTTATGTAACTGGGGGGGAAAAGCAACAAAAGAATGCATAGTATATGTCCTGGATTTTTTTTATAAGACCTAACAGTGAAACTATTAGCATTTAAATAAAATTTTTAAGATTGACTGCGTGGCCTTCAAGGCAGTGTCATACCATGGGGAAGGTCATCCTCCCTCCATGTGTCGTACCATGGCACATCATACCATGGCAGTGTCATACCATGGGGAAGGTCATCCTCCCTCCAGAGCCCAACATTCCTGGACTCATACCTCAGCTCCACCATTTCCCAGCAGTGTGGAACTTAGCCTCTAAGTGCCTGAATGCTCAATTGCTTTTTCTACAAACTGGGGTAATAACAGTGCCATCTTAAAGGATTGTGCTGGTTAAATTAGACAACCCAGTAAAGTCTTGGCATAGTGATAGGCACCTAGTAAGCACTTAATAAATACCAGTTATGTTATATTACTAAAATCTGCCTACTTTTTTTTATCATGCTGATTGAGACTGCCTTTGATGCCCTACTAAAGGAATTAAAAAAATATATTAGCACTAGTGTCAGAAGATATGAGCTCTGGTCCTGTCTTTCCCACTTACCTGATGGGTAGCTGTGGACAAATCTCTTAATTAATATCATCAACTATAAAATGGAAATAATAATTTGCATTCTACCCTGTCTACTACCAGTGCTAACAGGTGGGTTTTTTTCTGTTTGTTTTGCTTCTTTGATGTAAAGTGTTATTCACATGTAATATCCGTGGTGGTGGTGGTAGTGGTGATGGCTGTGGGATTCAGAGTACAATTAAATGTAAAGGAACACAGAATTCACGCCTGACTCGGCCAGCTTACAGGTCACCACTTCCGACTGTCACATCACCACCTTAAACTTCACAATGACACTGCTCTCAATAATGCAAGGAAAGAAAAAGGCATAGACAGAAAGAGAGAAATTAATACACAGACCCAATTAGGCTTTCTTAATCCAGTATCATTTTCATTATATTATTAATTGTTATTATTATTTTACCATTCTTGATCTAAAGGGCTCTAAAATATTTTCTTACAGAAGAAAGTAAAAGCCAAACAGTTGGCTGAAACCCAGGTCTCATGGCAAACAGTACCGCATTCCTTTCTCTAAGACAGCAAGTTGCATACTCGGATATAGCTATTTTACAAAGCAGGGTATGGAATTATATAAAAAGAAAGATCCATCTACATTTAAATTACAGAGAAAAAGCTAGAAGAAAATACTTACTGTGTCTCTGTATTTTATAAATTGCCACACTAAGCATGTTAGTTTTAACAACAAAATAAGTGAATAAAAATATTCTAAACTATATAATGTTCATGGCAATCTAAGTAAAAAGAGATAGTTCTGAGCGTGAACCCATTTTCCGAGGATTCTGAAAGAACACTGCTTCTCCAATTGCCGAGATCATGAAGAAAGAACCCAACCCTGGAACAATGAAACTTCATTATTAGTTGGGGCTTTTTTTCTGTCTGTGTTTTATGTCCTTGCATTTAACTTTCCTCAGAAATTTGGTCCGAAGATAATAGATCATTGATCTGCTCTAGTTTTACAAAGCTCATTTTCATTAAGAGTTTCTAATAAAATCATATGTCCCTTGCAAGTCAGGCTTTAGTCCGCTTGGGATAAAACATGCTGTAAATATTCTATGGCTGCACTGGTGCAAAGTTATGAGCAATGCAGGGTTTTAGAAATCCGAGTGCATATCTCAAGATCTGCCCCTTTACAGATAAAGCCAACTAGTCCAATTAAAATCATGCTGAAAATTAATACAGCACAACTGTTTTATTATGCACCTACTGAATTTTATTTTTAGAATCCCTTTTTAAAGGGCCATCTTAAATATATTTTTTAATTCTAAGTCCTCCTCCTCTGGCTTTTACAGAACTGATTCCAGGTGGTGAGGTGAAGGCATTACACAGCAAAAAATGAAAAGAAAAGCTATGTTAAAGCTGAAAGCAAAATCTTTCCTCCTTAAAACATGAAATTTCCAGATATAAGATTTCAAACACCGATTAAGCTTATGTTTGAAACAACATAAAGATATGAAATGTTTTTAATTTTTTAAATACTTCACTTAACTTTTTATAAAAACAGTCACTGACAGAAATATAAGGCAATATTCAATGAATAAAAATTTTGGCAAGGGGAACAAACACCACTTCAGTGGTTAATATTAGAAAAAGAACACTGAGGTTCAAATGGACTTGGTTTAATTAAAGACAATAAGGACACGTACATCCCAATTTTCCTGACAAAAAAAACAGCCTTTCTTCCCTGAGAATATTGTTATTTTGCTTTCAACACCTGAAATAAAAAAAGAACAAAAGTCAAATCTGCTTTCAAAGTTTGACATGCCTAGGCTCAAGTAGAAATAAGTATTATAGTTTTCACTTTCCTTATGGTCCCTCTCCAGGTGACCAAGTTCCTAACTCCCTACATCAACCCCTTAACTAATCAGCAGAGGTTTGGTTTATAATTGTTCATCATGAGTTCTAACATCAGCTCCCAGGCAAAAGGATCAGGTTTAAGACAGCACAGTAAATTGGGAAAAAGGGAGATAATCTAATCTTAGATTCAACCTACCCATTTGACAGTGGTGTCTTTCATCCAGAGCTTCTTGCTTGCTGCCCGGCTCCCACATCCCATCTTTGTATTTTTATGTATCAAAAGTGAACACTTTAAAGTGTAAGGCAATATGGGAAGAAGGAAGAAAATGCCCAACTCTTCATTTTTCTAACCATATTTTTGGACCCAATAAACCCATATGAATAAGCCCCTTATGCAAAGGATATTTTACCATTATCATAAGATAAGACTTCAGAATAGCTATCTCTTAACTACAAAGTTAACATTTTCACTTCATCTACTGAAGGAACACACAGTATGCTCTGTATTTCCCTAGAAAGTGATTCAAAACACACTGTAACTTGTGGGACAACAATTAAGAGATAATTTCATTATAAATGTATAATTCTAAATTTATATCTAAATCATGTGGGATTGCCTATTTAAAATAAATTATAAAAGTATTAGAGTCAAACTCAACAGTGCTGTAAATTCAGATAAATCCTTATGCTTTTTTCCTTTCTTGTTAATACTTTCAGAAGATTCCATAGCCTTATTGTCATCAGGGTAAAAAAAGTAAAAGCAAAGCTTTACATTTCTTTCTATGACAAATATTAGCATGATAAATGTTCTTCAAAAATATGAGACAACGATGGAAAATGTTATAGATTTTTTAAAAGTTTTTATAATACATTCACTAATGAGCATAACCTTCAAGTCACCTTCAAACACGGTGATTAAAGTGAAAAGTCTAATACAAAAATAAAACATTTTGATAAATGTGGAACTGGATCCATCATTTTTTAAGCCATGAGAACTTTTTTTCCTTAGTAAGGTGTCTGTTATAACTCTGCATTATCCTGTTGTGGTCAGACTGAACAATATACTGCGTGTGACATTGAAGTTACAATTAAAGCTATGGAGTCTAGACACTCACTGAATTTAGCTTGAGTAATTGGCTGTTGTTTTGTTTGTACGCAATGTTTTCCTCCTTCTGTAACCCGTTGGAAGCTTAACAATTTCTGAGCTAGTTTCAATACAAGGCAAAACAGGCTAATTGTGAAGTTAGACATGTGTTCCCTTGTGAATGTCTCTCTGCAGAGTCATTTCATTTTCACAGATCTGAAGAAAACTAACAGCAGCAGCCTGCGGGTTAACCATTTGCTCCTTTTACCTAAAGCATGCTAAGTGCATATGCATCATGAAATTGCCAAAGGCTTTTATTTTTTTTTAAGTACTAGTAAAAGTAGAAAGTAATAAGTAACCGAAGCATAATTACTATATAATTAGCAAGTACTTGTAAAAGTAGAAAGTAATTACTGCATAATTAGCATTTTGGCCTTATCTGATCACATCTTTCTCCGAGTCCTGTCTGGAGACTGGCAGTACTGAACAAAAAGGCAGGACTTTTTTTTTTCTTTTTTCTTTTATTTTTCTATCTGAAACCAGAAAACCCTGTTTTTACAATATTCACAGGCCAGTCCCCTCATTCTGTCATCTGTCTCTCCAACAGCTTGAGACATGGGCTCTCTTTGCCTGAAAGAGAACCATCCCATCACTCAGGAAACTAGAACAATCTTCCCCCGCACAGCCTGCAATACTGCAGTTTGACATTAATGAACCAAAAGTAACTCCCTAAACTAACCCCTGCTATTTTAAAATACAAGTGGGCCAAGAGATCTTATAGAAATAAAATCTAAAAATAAAAATCTTTAGAAATCCAGGCCTTTTCTGATTACTCACTGATTGACATGATCTTATCATTTAATAAAACAAGGACTAGAGAAAGCATGCTGTGAAAACATTAAGTCTGGAGTCTCTACTTTTCATAAGCAGTGGTTTCTCTCAGCCATCATTGTGCCTGTTGTCCCAGCAAACATGGTCATGAGTCCTGCCTACTGCTCCTCACTTTGCCTTACAGTAATCTGAACTTTTTTACCCTGAATTACCCCCCAAAAGACATGTTAACAGCAGTGCACCAGATAGCAGGAAGTCTGTGTAGATTCCTTGTTTAAAGAAACCTGCTGAAAAATGTGAAAAATCTATTCCAAATTAGTCATTCAAATCTAAATAAGGAAATATATTACACTTTAAATGAAGAAAAATATCTGGTTTTACTCAAGGTTGTGGTGAATCTGTTTGACAACTTTTAAATTAATTCATATGCTTTTCAATCATCGCAGTTACCTGTAGGGAGTACTAAACAGAGAGATGACAAGGCAATGCTTTGTGTTCAAACTTATAAACTATATTTCCATGGACTTTTCATCTCATCCTTTCCAAGGAATATTTGACCTTCAAATTTTAGGCCCTCTTGATTTCATGCATCTATCATGTTAGAAAACTCAAACTGGCCTACAAGTTGAATGAATTTTAGTTGTTTTCAAAATCTGCAATCTGTTCATGGTGCCAACCCTGCATTGCAGAGAAATCTTAGTGTGCGATTCCAGCTTGACTCCCACAAACAAAGTCACTACAAATAGGTTTTAACTATCTTTGTGGGGACGAGGGGGCGGGGAGGGGGGAGAGAAGAGGAAGGAAACCCCCACTCTGGTCAGCCTGACAGGCCATGCTGGGTGACAAGCCCCCGGAGGCAGAATCCCTGCGCGCACCGGCCTGGGCGCTGTCCTTGGTGCTGACGGCGCCATAGCGAGCACAAGCGCCTTACCTTCTGCCCCCGTGGAAGCTGCGGACGTCCCCCAAACGTTAAGCGAAATATAGCGTCATATCTCACTTTTAATACAAATAACTACCCCGGCCCATCCATCCTCTTTGTTCTCTTCCCGAAGCCTTCAGGCTGATCGTTCCTCAGCATCTTTTTGTTTTTTTCTTCTAGTCCTAACTCGCTCCTCTCGGTCAGCTTTAAGAGGAAGAGTGGGGGGAGGGAGGCCAGAGGAAATGAGGGTGGGGGAAGGGACAGAGGAGGGGGAGGGGAGAAGGAAAGAATGGCAAGAAAAAGGTCCTGGAGGGGAGGGCTCAGAGAAGGGCAGAGAGAGTGGGACTAAAGAAGGCTTACAGTGGGAGGGCGAAGAGATGCCAAAAAGAGGGAAAAGTGATTAAGCATAGAAAAATGAGTAAGGAAAAAAGTAATGGATAAAAGATAAAAGAAGAGAAAGTTGTGGGGATAAGAGTGCAGAGGGCTAAGAAAAAAGCAAGGTGGTCGGGGGGTGGGGAGAAAAGCTGCCCTAACGGCGGGAGAATGAAAAGACAAAGAAAGGGCGTTCTGTGGATACCGGCTCCGAGGGTGGAAATGCAATCCCAAAGTGAAGAGGAGTGGAGAGGGAGCTTGAGGGGAGACTAGTGGTCTAGGACTAAAGGAGAACTGGGGGGAGGGGACAGGGCCAAAGCGGCAGTCCGGGGTCCGATGCGGCACGGGCCCACGTGGAGCCCGGAGCCGGCGCTG